AAGCCTCGCTCATCTCTGGCATCAGGCCACTGTCAGCGTGACTACTCTTGGGTGGGAGGCGTTCATGGCTGGGGGTGGGCTCCAGAGTGGTGGTGTCAGGGCGTCTAACGCTGTCCTGTTTCTTGATCTGGGTGCTGGCCATGGGGGCCGATGGTCAGTCTGAAATTCTTCCCACTGTCCACTTACAATTGTGTCCTTCCCTGGATGTGTGTTATACTTTGATAACAAGTTAAAAAAAAAAGTGAAAAAAGTGAAACAGGTATTTTACAGATGGGGAAACTGAAGCACAGAGAGGGGAAGGCCAGGGTCACACAGGGAAGAAGGATGGGCACATACGGGCTCTTCATCTTAACCACACACATCCTGCCACCCACTTGCCCCGCAGAGTCGGCCATGGAGAGGGACCGCTACATGAGCCCCATGGAGGCCCAGGAGTTTGGCCTCTTGGACAAGGTTCTGGTCCACCCTCCCCAGGACGGTGAGGACGAACCTGAGCTGGTGCAGAAGGAGCCGGTGGTTGCAGCGGCAGAACCCGCCCCAGCAAGCACCTGAGCGCCAGACCCCATCCTCGGAGGAAAGTTGAGCCAGGCGCCTGCTGGACACCCTACTGCCCCTCCTTCCTGGGCCTGGAAGGACCCCTTGAGGAGCTCTGGATTGAGGGGTGCCCCTAAGGGCAGGTATCCTGGCAGAGACACTGATTTTCAATTAAATCTTTGTAGTCTTTGTTCCTGGTCTTTGGTGCTTTCCCTCCCTGCTCTCCACAGGGCACTTGCATGTGCCCTTCATGAGGTCCCTGCTGCTTTTGCACTGACCCCGAAGCCCTGACCTTGGACTCTCCAACTTCAGCAAAGTCTACGGAGCAAACACTATATTCCAGGCACTGTTCTAGGAGCCCTGACATATCGTGAAGAGAACACAAAAATCCCTGTCCTCAGGGTGTAGACAGTTTAAAAACAATCAGGGGACAAGGTATGCAGAGAGAGAGAGAGAGAGAGAGAGAGAGTGTGTGTGTGTGTGTGTGTGTGTGTGTGTGTGTACGTGCGTGACACTTTTAGATAGGGTGGTCAGCAAAGGCCTTGCTGAGAAGATGAAGTTTGAACAAAGACCTAAAAGGAGGAGAGGGAGGGAGGCAGCTTGGTATCTCGGGACACAGCAGCTGGACAGAGAGCATAGCAAGTGCAAAGGCCCTGTGGCAGGGCCGTGACTGACATGTGGCGGAATCAGGAGGAGGCTGCGGTGGAGTGAGCAGGTGGGAGAGTGGACAGATGAGGACAGGAAGGGCAGATCATAAAAGACCTGGTGGGTCTGAGCAAGGACTGAGGTGAGCCGGGGAGCGGTTTTTTTGTTTTTTTTTTTTGAGAGGGCATCTCTCATATTTATTGATCAAATGGTTGTTAACAACAATAAAATTCTGTATAGGGGAGTCAATGCTCAATGCACAATCATTAATCCACCCCAAGCCTAATTCTCGTCAGACTCCAATCTTCTGAAGCATAACGAACAAGTTCTTACATGGAGAACAAATTCTTACATAGTGAATAAGTTCTTACATGGTGAACAGTACAAGGGCAGTCATCACAGAAACTTTCGGCTTTGATCACGCATTATGAACTACGTGGAGGGTTTTGAGAAGAAGAATGAAAAGCAGGAGAATAATGGCCCCAATGGAGCAGTGGGAGAAAGCAGCCAGCACAGAAACCTGGAGACTAGTTAGAACAATCCAGGTTTTAAAGGCAGGGCTGAGAGGTGGGATGTGAAGTTTAAGAAAGAAAGTAATCTCCAAGTACTCTAAGGTTTTGGCCCAAAGCAGCTACACAGATGGAGACGGTTAACTGAGATGCAAGGGCCGCAGGGAGGAGGAGGTTTGGGGCAGGGATCGGGAGCTGGTGTGGGACATGTTATGTTTGATGTGCCTCAGACATCCCAGACGATGGGCAAGTCTGGGCGCAGAGTTGTGAATAAATACGTAGGTGACATCAGCCTGTCACTAACTTCCCAGTCAGGCCCAGAGCTGGCCACTGGGTTTGGCGCGGTGGAATCCCTGGCTGCCTTAAGCAAGAGCACTTTCGGCTTTGGGGGCCAAAAGCCAGACTGGAGCGGACCCATAGAGAAGGGGCAGGGGAACATCGCAGCCAGGCAAGTCTCTCGAATTTTGCTGTAAAGGAAAGCAGAGAACATGGGGCTGTCGCTGGAGGGAGAAGTGGGGCCAATGTACTTCTAAAAAGATAAGCCATCTTTAAAAAGGACCACACCACCTCATTTTCAAAAATTAGGTGTTTCATAATACCCAAATTTTCAAGCCTAAAATAAAAACAGTACAATACTCACTACAGTCAAATATTCAACCAGTGTTCAAGTTTCTCCAGTGTTCTTTCTTTAGCTTATTCAAACCAGCACCTAAACAAATCACATACCTTGCAACTGGTTGACGATATCTGAAGATTTCCCCTTGATGTCCCTCTCCCTCCTTCTCTCTTCTTGGAATTCACTCAGAGAAACAGGGTCGTCGGTGGACTTCCCGACCGCCTGGAAGTTGATGATGGGGCCGAGCAGCGCTGTGACAGCAGTCCCTGTTATTTCCCGTAACTCAGAAGTAATCTGTCTGATCAGATTCGGGTTCCACCTTTCGGCAAGTGACCTCCTGGCTGGAGGTGTGTGCTTCCACGAGACCCTGAAGTGGCCTGTCCCTCATGTTGACAGGTTAGGAGCCCACGAAGAGTCTCGTCTGACCCACTAAATATTCCAATAAAGGCGCAAAATAGTGATACGCCGACTCTAGCATTAGAGGAACAGGGATTTGGGGGTTTGTTTTATTTAGAGGGTGGAAGCCGGCCCGCTAGCGGGAATGACCCGGTAGATGGGGGGAAATGGGTGATGCCTCATTTTGACCTCAGACCGAAGCCCCTAACTCCACAAACTTGGTCCCACGCCCTAATGATGGCCTTGACGTCACTCCCCTGACCTCAGTACCCTTGACCCCTTCGTCTCAACCCAACTAGTTAACCTCTAATCCTAGACGACTTCATAACCACGACCTCGGCCCAAATCCTTCTATGACCCCTGACCTCGGACCCCAGACCAGATCCCACCGTCGCCCCACCCTCTGGAGGACGGACAGCCAATAGTCTTAGAGGCAGAGGTCGATAGCGTCCAATGACGGGAGAGAAGGAAGGTTCGCGGGATCCAATAGCGCGAAAGGACAGGCTGAGCAGCAACCAGTAACCTTGAGCAAGAGGCGGGACTCTGGGGAAGGCCAATCGCTGGAGGGAGCCGGCGCAGCCACAGCCAATGGCTCTGGGGCGGGGCTGCCCTGACCGGCCGCTGCAACGACCCGGCTCCGGGTTATGGCTGGGAGTGGGCTGCAGGTGCTACGGGCGCTGCCCGGGCCGGGCTGGGTGCGGGGCTCGGGCCCAGTCGTGCTGAGTCGCCTGCGGGACGCAGCCATGGTGCGGCCTGGCTTCCTGAGCGCAGCCGAGGAAGAGACCTTGAGCCGCGAGCTGGAGCCCGAACTGCGCCGCCGCCGCTACGAGTACGACCACTGGGACGCGGTGAGGCAGGCGCGCCGAAGGCGGGGCCTTGTCGTGGGGGCGGGGCCAGGGCGTAGAGGGCGGGGAGGGGGCAGGACCTGGGGGACGGGGACAGAGCCTTGCAGCAGCACGCGGATATTGGCCACGAGAAGTGCACTTTGGTGCTGAGGGCAGGGCCGTAATGGAGGCAGCACTGAAAGTGAGGCGTTTCTGCGGGGACAGGACCAACATTAGGGACGGAAACGGGTGTGGGGCGGGATGGAAGGTCACCGGCTGGGACGTGTGGGATCCAGTTGTGGGCGGAGACTGAGGCAGAATTGAATACTGGGGCGGAGCCAGCTCTAGGGCCGGGATCTGGGACTGAATTGGAGCCGAGCCTTAAGGTGGGCACAAAGGCCTGAGGCCCGACTTAGAGGGGCAGTGGTTGTGTTTGAGACCCAGGATCATGGGGTAAATAGGACCAAGGCTGTGAGTTGAGGTTGGGGTCTACGGTCCTCTGGGAAAACCAGCCGTTTGCACCCTGCAATGCCCCCCGCCGGGCCTGTGTCCCCATTCCCCCTGAGACATTCCTGGCTTGACCTGGGCTCTCTGTGCAGGCCATCCATGGCTTCCGAGAGACAGAGAAGTCACGCTGGTCCGAGGCAAGCCAGACCATCCTGCAGCGCGTGCAGGCGGCGGCCTTTGGCCCTGACCAGACCCTGCTGCCCTCGGTGCATGTACTGGACCTGGAACCTCAGGGCTACATCAAGCCACACGTGGACAGCGTCAAGGTGGGCAGAGGCCGGCGCCTTGGAGCTGCTGCTGCGGGGAGGGAGGAAGGGCTCCCAGGCCAGAGCCTGACCTGCCACCATGCTGCCTCTTGCAGTTCTGCGGAGCCACCATCGCTGGCCTGTCCCTGCTGTCTCCCAGTGTCATGCGGCTGGTGCACACGCAGGAGCCCACCCTGTGGCTGGAGCTTCTGCTGGAGCCAGGCTCCCTCTACATCCTCAGGTACTGCCTGGCCAGGAAGCTCCACCCCACAGTGAGTCCCCAGAGGCCCGCCCAGCACTTGGAGCCGCTTCTCCTTTCAGCCCTCCCGGCAGAGGGTCCGCCTCCCCCTGCGCAGCCTTAGCCTCTGCCCTCTCTTGCAGGGGCTCGGCGCGTTATGACTTCTCCCATGAGATCCTTCGGGATGAGCAGTCCTTCTTCGGAGAGCGTCGGGTTCCCCGGGGCCGACGCATCTCAGTGATCTGCCGCTCCCTCCCAGAAGGGGTGCGACCAGGGGAGCCCAGGCAGCTACCCCGGACTTGCTGACCACCACGCCCTTCCCCCAGCTTCTTAGAGACGCTACCTGTGAATAAATTTGGAGAATGGACAAGCTGGCCTTCCTTGCACTGGCCGTTCGCTGGGGCAAGCAGCTGCACAAGAAGCCCAGGGCACCACCTGCTTGCCCACGGGGCACTAAGTGGTAGGGTCAGGGCACACACTGGCTGAACACAGTCACGAGGCTGCAGGAGCAGTTGCCTTTATTATGTTCCTTGCTGGCAGCCCCAGCCCACCTCCCCTTCTCATCTCAGCATCCCAAGTCGTCAATAAATAAGTCCACAGACCTCTCTAGCGGCTGCAGGGCCCAGGCTGGGCGGCCTCAGCCTTAGCCGCAGCCACAGGCAGCTGCCGAGAGCTGGGGCAGCCGCTGCCAGTGGTGGCGGTCGTCGAGGAAGGCCACGTCAGCGTAGCGGGTGGGCCGGCAGCAGGGCCCGCCATGGGCTCGGCCCTGGCCCCACAGCCGGGCCAGCGTCAGGCCATGCTGGGTGCGGGCACCACGGGGACAACTGCCGGCACAGTAGTGGAAGATGACCGTCTCCTCCGAAGTGTAGCCCAGGCCCAGCTCCACCACTGGCAGAGACAGGCTCCACAGCTGGCACGGGCTGACCAGGGCTCTGCGCAGGCGGGCACCTTGGGGGACAAGGGGCAGCTGACAGCCAGCAGGGTCTGGGTGGGACAGAGTTGGGGAGCCACGCAGGGTCCCATGGGTCCTTACCCAGCTGTGGCCTCCAGGTCCCTCTGTCTGCTGCAGCCTCAGACAGAATCTCTCCCTCCGCTGCCACTGTAGTCCCGCGAGCCCCAGGGCCCTCGCCCAGGCCCAGCTGCAGTGACAGGAGCAGCAGAGAGCTGAGCAGGGCTCTTCCCGTGGCCATTGTGACAGGCAGGTCCTGTTGGTGGGGATGCCCTGCACCCTCAATTTATCCCCCTGCTGGGCTGTGGAGTAACCTCTTCACTGCCAGCTGCTCTCTAGGCACAAAGTTCCCCACATCCCACACTAGCTTGTCTCCCAAGTCCTCCAGCCCAGGCTGGCTGGCTCCTTCTGACCCACACCGTCCTTCTGAGAGTTAAGGGCTCATCCCCCCAACCCCACCCAGACATTCCACAGACCCGTTTCCGACACCCCTCCACCCCTTGATTTATGAGTCTTGTGGCGGCCAGGGCTAAGCCCAGGGCAGGCAACTGGGGTCCCCACCCCACCTGCTGTCTGGAGAGGTGGGGGTCTCCACAAGTCCCCAGATGTCCCTCCCCACTCAGCCAGGGTGCTGGGGCTCAGGGGTCCCCATGTGGGGCACCAGGTGGAAAGGATGTGTGGAGATGAGGTGTTTGGCAGGTGCTGAGCTGACAGGGACGCCCCGTCATGGCTCCCATCTCGAGGATTAAGACATCATGCCCTTGTCTCCGGGCCTGGCTGAGCCGGTGTCAAAACAGGAAAAGGGAGAGGCTGGGGGACAGCCAAGAGCTGGGACACGGGGCAGGAAGCTCGCCCTGCAAGGACTCCAGTCTATGCCAACCTGAGGGCCCTAGGCCCTCAGCCCTGTCCCCGGGTCCCGGGGCATCAGGGTGGGAGGGAAAGGGAGCAGCAACTTCCATGCCCGTCCTGTGACCCAAGAAAGAGGTCTGTCCCTCACCCGAGAGGGTCCCTCCCACACGGGCTTCTGAGAACGGAGGCACGGTGCGTTCAGTGTGTGTGGCACGGCTGGCACGGAGGGGCTTGCGCAAGCTTCTGAGGCTGAGGAAATGGTTTGAAAGGCGCTCAATCTCAACACAGACAACACTGAGTTAAAACTCAGGTGAGACTCTGCACCCAAGAGCCAAACTCAGCATCTGAGCATCTGCTCCACACGGCTGGGTGTGGGACAGGCATGCCCCCGTGCATGGCCAGGAGCGGACACAAAACAGCTGGCATGTGCTGCTGCAGCTCCCATCACAACCCTCGGGCCCACGAGACCCGCTTCAGGAGCCCGGCTCACACCAGGGGCAAAGACAGGAGGTGTATTCACTGCCTTTTCCTATCAGCCAGACTGGAAATGACCAAAACCGCACCACAGCGGCTGCTTCAGTAAGTCTGGTGTGCTGGTTCTTAATGCTGTGTTTGCTAAGACCACTCGCAGTACCTGTCTAAAGGCACCAGAATTAAGAAACAGCTGGGATTTGGCTCTGGGTCCGGCTGAAAGCAAGGCCCTTGCTCCTAACCACTGGGACGCACAGCCCGACGGGGAGAACTCAGACTGCTGTCCTCGCAGTAGGGAGGGCAGGTGCAAAGCTGCCAGGGCTGGGGGCCAGCACCTCTCTCCCGCCGTCCCCAAAGGCCTGGCGGAAGGACAGGGAGGGAGGTTGGACCAGCCTGGGGCATTCTTAGGAATTAGCCTGACATCGCAGGCATTCCCACTCGGCGGCCAAGGACCTACAGGGGGAGTTTTCCACCCACCATCTCTAGCCAAGGGGAAGACAAGCCCAATACCCTGCCCCTGCCGGATCACTCAGGTAGAAGGGGCTCAACAGTAGCACCTGCTGCTGAATTCCAGCCCCATTACCATCAGCAAACTTGAAAAGCCCACCCACTACAGAACACCTGGAATGCTGGATAGAGTAAATGCATAACCAACTTGTAAGAAAACAAGGGAAACCCCAGAAACATCAGTTAAACTGAAAAATAGAGCTGAGATGCCAGCATCAGTGACAAAAGGGTTGGGGATTTTGTGGCCAGATAGGAACAGAGCCCCTGAGCTGAGAACCCCCCAAAATGGACTCATGCCAGGACCCCTGTGGTATCCAGGCCCCTGAGCTGAGAACCCCCCCAAACTGGACTCAGGCCGGGACCCCTGTGCCACCCAGGTAGGGGGCAGAGGCAAAGACCATCTGGGAGGATTTGCCTGCAAGTAGACCACCCCAGAGGCCCCCAGACACAGCTCCCGAGCTGGCCATGAGACCCCCCCCACTGAAACTACAAAGGGAAGCTTAGGGAAGGTCCCGAAATACAGCCAGAAGATAGAACAGGATGCCCGTGAGCTTCTGCTACCAGGTGTGCCTGGCAGAGATTGTGAGACAAGGATGCTTAAAAATGTGGAAGAAGGGACCACAGAATCGGGCAAGACGCTCCAAACAGACGAGCTGATGCAAAGAAACAAAGATATCTTCCAGAATTGGGCAACAGTCTGGGAAGGAAGCATGAGGCGGATCAGTGGTGAGGAGCGCGGCTGCGGGAGGAGACAGAGCAGGAGCCGTCGGCCACGCGGGGAGGCAGAGGCCAGGGGAGGACGAGCCCAGGCGGCGGCTGGCGGGGAGGGCGGGGTGGGCCCTCACTCCTTGAGGGAGAAGTGCATCTTGTCATTGACCATCTTGCGCTCGGGGTTGAGCCGCTTGAGGATCTGGGCCAGCACGTTCACGGTCTGCTCACTGCTCAGCCCCGTCTTCTTGGTCTGGAACTTCTTCAGCAGGTCCTTGGTGGTCATGGGCTTCCGCGTCAGGTAGCGGCGCACGGCGTCCTCGGTCACCTGCACATCACTGGGCAGCCGGCAGGGAGGTGGCGTCAGCAGGAGACCCTCCCTCCCTGCCCCTGGCCCTGCCCCTGGCCCCTTGTCAACTCACCTGCCGCTAGGGGTTGACTTCCCAGACGGGGGCTGCGGCGTTGACTTCCCCGACAGGCTCTGGGGCCCGGCGTCCAGCCGCAAGCGCTTGGCTGCTGGTGTCTCACCGGTCCGCTTCCCTGGGGGGCAGGCTGGGGCTGGGTTGTGGAATAGGGGGGGGGACGCCCAGGCTGGGTGGTGCCAGGATTATGGTTACAAGGGGCTCAGGGTCACACAGGCTCTGCCCTGGACGTGGCCCAGTGGGGAGGGCACGTGCAGAGGTCAAGGGTCATGGTAAGGGGCACTCACCCTGTTCCAGCTTGGTGGCGGCTGCCCGCAGGGTAGACCACGTGGTGCTGCTGTCTGCACTGGGCGTGCCAGGCCGGCTGTTGCCCCTCGAGCTGCCGCCGGACAGCTTCCGTTCCCTCTTCGGGGGCGTCTTCTTCTTCTGCAGAGACCCGGGTGAGGACGTGAGTGTGGAAGTGGATGCCACGCCGGCCTGCCGCGCCGCGCCGCCCACCCGGGCCTTACCGCCATGAAGAGGGCGGAGGAGGCCTCGCTGTCGATGTCGCTCTCCTCTGAGCTGTCCGACTCATCGCTGCTGTCTGCGGGGGCAGGCGGGCGTCAGCCGCAGCCTCAGGCCCGCCCCGGCCCTCCCCACGTCGGGCTCCCCGAGGCCCACCCCTCCTGCGCCTCCTCTCCTGCGGCGCGGCCGCCTTCCTCTCCTCGTCCTCCTCCTTGTCCCCCTCGGGGGGCGGCTTCTCCTCCTCGCTGTCCTCGCTGCTCTCGCTGCGCTCATCCACGCCCTTGGGGCCCTCCTCCTGCTGCTTGACCTTGGTCTTGCTCTCCAGCTCGTCCTGGGAGCTGCTGGAAGGCAGAGGGCAGCGGAGGGTGGGCATGAGCCCCACCGGGGCAGGGTGGCACCACCTCCTGCCGGTCTCACCTGGAGCCATCGGACATGTAGTCCACCTCCTGGCCCTCAAAGTCCCCATCATCGCTGTCCTCAAAGGCCTCATCATCCGACCCCTTCTTCTTCTTCTTCTTCTTCTTCCCACCGGCCTTGGCGGGCACCGCCTTCTTCTTGGCTTTGGGGGCTCGGCCGCCTGAGGAAGCACAGGGCTCGGCTGGGGGCTCGGCAGCTCCTGTGCCTTGTTCGGGGGTCTTGCAGGGAGGGGCACGCCCGGGAGCAGCCAACTTGTGGGGGAGGCCGAGGGCTTGCCGGGACGCAGCCCCCACAGAGAACCAGCCACTCCCAAGTCTATCCCCGCAAGAGCCGCTCTCTGTCCCTCGGGCACTCAGGGCCTCCATCCTCTGCCCTAAACCACCCCCAGGTGCCCCAGGACAGGCATCCACAACTAGCCCTAGCCCCGGAGCCCCGGCAATCGTTCAGCCTGGCCTGCCGCACCCTTCCACGGAGAGCCCCATGCGGCCGTGGGCGGCCTTCCCGCCGTGCCCTCTGCTCCTGCCGCCCTGGTGCTGCCCTGCGCGGCCCACCTGCGGCACCCTGGGCTCGTTCCCACGGGAACCGCCTGTGAGACTCAACTCTTCCCTCCCTGGCTTTCCCGTCACTCAGCCACCCGGACTAATGACAAGCCAGGCACAAAGGAGGCGCCACGCGGGCCTCACCCTCCTCGTCGCTGGCCTCGCTGTCCTCGGACGACATGTCCAGGTCGTCCTCCAGGTCATGGATGCGCAGCTCACTGGCCCTCCCGCGGCCGCGCCTCTGCTTGTCCTCCTCCTCCTCCTGGTCCTGGTCCTTGAGCCGCCGCTGCTGCATGATGCTGAAGTGGTTCAGGACCTTGTTCCTCCTGCAGCGGGGTGCGGAGGTGAGGGACGGGCGGGGCCCTGGAGCCACCCAGGGAGCGGGGGGGTGAGGGGTGGCCTGGCCCCCCGCAACTCCCCGTCAGCCGAGGCCTCAGGAAGAGGGTCCCGGGTGGCACTGGCGGCCCAGCACCTCTCAGCTCTGGAACTTTCTCAGGCAACAGCATCTGCCACAAGCAGTTAAGCCCGGCTGCTGTCACTCTCATTTGGGGGCACCTCCTTTCTTATGGCAGGGGCACTGGTGTTTCCGCTGACTGTGGCGATGCAAGTTTTTAAAAGTGCAACTGCATTTAATGAGAGTTTAATGAGAGCTGGGACTGTACATAATAAAGAGCACGAGCCGAATTCCCAGGACACGAAAAAGGAGCGAAGGGCCAGTGCACCGTGAACAAACTCATCTCTACTGGATGGACGCTGACAAATGGCTAAGGTGGCCAATTTTTGGTGTTGTATAATATAATTAAAAATTTAATTTAAAAAAATGAAGCGCTGACCCCTGCTACCATGCGGAGGGACCTGGGGACACAGTGCTCAGGGACATAAGCCTGACACAGAAGGGCAGATCCCGTCTGACCCCACTCCCAGGAGGTCCCCAGAGGAGCCCCTTCCAGGGACAGAGTGACAGTGAGGCCGGAGGCTGGGGGAGGAGTTGGGGGGTTAGTGTTCCATGGGGACAGAGCTTCCGTGTGGGATGATGGAAAGTTCTGGAGATGGGGGGTGGAGGGTGGCTGCTGCACGATGATGGGAACGTACTCTGTGCCCCCAAAGCGTGCACTCAGGAATGGTTAAGAAGGTAGATTCTGCACTGCGTGTATTTTACCTCCAGTTGATCCAGCCACAGATCTACTGCCAGGGGGACGCCAAGCGGCCAGGACAGCCCACCCTGCCCTGCCGATTCCGGCTCCAGGGCTCAGCTCAGCCACTGCCTCCTGGCACCCAGCGACCAGCATGTCCCAACGGGTTCGTGTGTCTCCCCAGCAGACTGGGGGTCCCTGAGGGCCTGGCAAGTCTGAGCCACTCACTCACCACTGAGCCCCCGGCAACCAGCTGGATGCAGAGCTGTGGTAAGGCCCCCGTTGCTAACCATGCTGGCTCCCATAATGGGGATGCGGGGAGATGCCAGCGTCTGTGCCCACTCACCTTTCCCACTCCTCCTCGGCCTCCTCGGCAGTGAGTGTACGGTGCCGGGCCAGCGGCGTGAAGTTGTACCAGTTGTGCACTGGGAAGGCCTCGAAGGCCCCGTCAGGGCACTGGGTGAAGACGTAGTAGGACGTGTTCTCTGTCACACCGCCCTTCTTTACGCCCTTGAACCTGCAGGGGGCCATGGTCACAGCCCGGCCTCAGGACCAGCCCCCGCCCATCTGCACCCTTCGCCTGCCTCCTCTCCAGGGCCCTGTGGATTAGCTGAATCCAAGGCTGGGGCGCCTCGGCTGGCCCTGCGGCATGTGAGTCCCGATTTCCACATCTGGAAACCAAGGCCAGCACACCCAGCCTCCCACAGTGCGCTCAGTGCTCCCCACCTGGGAGGACCTGTTAGAGGAGCCGGGAAGGGCACACACCCTGCAGGAAGACCCCTCTGCATTGGGCCCTGGGCCCCGCCTCGTGCCAGAACCACCCTCACCCTTTTCTTCCCCAAAAGCCCAGGCAATCTTATGGTGTGACCCTTCCAGTGCCTACAGCCTTCAAAGCTCCCTGGGCCCCGACCACCCCTAACCAGTCCAGCTGCATCCCGGCACCCACTGCCCTTTGCTGTCCACCTGGCCTGTCACCGTCATGCACTGTGACTGTCCCCTACGGCTCAGCGGGCCATTCTGGGCCTCTGTGTGCACTATCCTACCAGGAGTGCCCTTCATTCACCCCATCTGTGTCCTCCCAATTGTCATGACCCCAGGCTCTGGGAGGCCCCTTAGCACGCACACCCAGGGCCAGCGCCCAGCTCCCTGCGTCCTGGTGCTTGGAGCTCCTGCACAAACACCTGCCCAGTTTGTCCTCGACACTAAAACCCCACGAGGGAGGATGTGCTGCCCGCCCTGTACATATGGGACATCGCAGTTTGGCAAGGGCACCCAGCAGAGGGGGAGGACACTGGGGCGCCACCACCGCTACCTCTCACCTCCTGCCCGATTTGCCATTGACGCGGAGCAGCCAGGGCTGGTCCTCTGGCCTGAACTCCTTGAGGACGATCCCATGCTTCTTCCTCCGGGCCTCCTCCCGGAGCTTGCGGTTGAACTCGCTGCCGGCACCCGACTCAGGCATCTCCTCCTCCTGGTAAATCTTCTTGTTGCTCAGGTCCCGCTCCAGCCGAGCCTGGGGGAACGGGGACGGGAGAACAGGAAGCAAACCCCTCATCAGGGGGCCTGCCTTTGCCCGGCTGTGCCCTCTGCCAAGAACACCCTTTACTCCCATCAGGCTGAGCTGCACTCAAAGCCAATTTCCTGCCCGGCACAAAGCGGGTAGAATGTTGGCACTCAGTGAGTCCGGGTGAAAGAGTATGGATAAGCCTTATGCTATGTCTAGTTTTGCAGCTTTTTGGAAGTTTGAAATTATTGCCAAGTGAAAATTTGAAAAGAAAAAAAAAAGACAGTAAGATCATTGTGGTGACAAAACAAAAGCAGAAACAATGAAAACTCCCTGCTTGGACCTGGCCCTTTTCTCTCTCTGCATCTGACTCGACAGCCCCATGAGTTCAGGTGCTAGTAAAGGCTGGGGTTTTCCAAATTTCAGTCTCCAGGCAACTGAGCAGCAGATATTAAATCCTAAAGTGCACACACTGCCTACACAGGGTATTCTTCCTCTCGACACTAGAGGATGGAATGACCCACACTTCAGGGTGCCGCCTGCAGAGTGCACGTGACCAGGCCACCGGCTACATACCCGGGCTCCTCCACACAGTAGAATACTGGGCGGCCCAAAACAGGAGGCAATCACTCGGAACAACCCCCAGGACACATCAACTTAAAAATGCAGGATGACCTACATTATTTCCCACTGTCAAGATTTCAGACCGCTGGGGCCCAAAAGATCCTGTGGGCTGGCCCTCTGTTTTTAAAAATAAAGTTTTATTGGCATACCTATGCCCACCACTTACATATCATCTACAGCTGCTTGCACTCAACAAGGGCAAAGTTCAGAAGTTGCAACAGACACTATCTGGTCAACAAAGGCCACCATAATTACTAACTGGCCCTTCAAGAAAAGGCTTGCTGACCCTGACATCCAGGACCCAGAATGAGAGGCTGACATCCTCAACAGCCACAGCAGAAGCTCAAAGACCACAGAACCAGACCTTCACGATTGGAGGGAACGTGGTTACCACACCAGGAATTGATACCCAGACAAACTATCCCTCCTGAGGCTAGAATAAGGTCACTGGTAGGGATACGGAGACTCACAATGTACTTCCCACACCTCCTTTTCAGGAGCTACCCCAGGACATGCCCCATTAGGACAGACGAGTAAACAGCTCTGACCCCCTGAAGCGGTCAGCCCTCAAGAGTGCAGGGCCCCTGCCTGGCTTGTTCCCCCGTCAGTCCGGGAGAGGGCCTCAGGACAGCTGCTGAAAGGAGACTGGCACAGGTTTCTGCCTAACCGATGCCCCTGGGGGATGAGTTGACTGCTGGGGGAGGGGCCGTCCCTTGTGGCTGTTAAGAGAGCTGTACCCACCACCGCCCGGGGGATTTGTAATAAAGGGGTGTCAACTCCAGGAGGTGTTTTCCAGGTAAAGTAATCCCCCCATTAGTTTTTTAGGGGATGCACCCCTCCATAAATTAGGATCTTATGGGCTGTGTCTCCCTGTGATTAGGTTTTTAGGGGAGTGACAAGATGTGATAAAAGCAAGGGATGATTAGTGATAGATGCATGTCCCCCCACAATGATCAGGAAAAAGGGTATAGGTAACTCTGGAGTTACTAGTGGCTGGGAGGTCACATAAGGTGACAACTACTCGGGTGCTACACTCCCCAAGGTGACTGGTGATAGGGTATGGCCCCTCCAAGGGGATGAGTGACTGGGGCACATATTCTAGGTTTTCAGGGATGGTTGGGGGCTACCCTTGTTGATGAGGGATCAGGGGTGGTACGTTGCCAAGATATTTATCAATTTCTTCCTCTTGGCCCCATTCAGGGGCAGGCTTCCCGTGATGGGCGGGTCATGTCTCTTCTGCATGATCAATGATGGGGGTGCTCCCCCACCGAGTGACCCGGGACTTGGAAACACTGTGACCTCTTGGGATAATTTTGCTGAGGCCAGCGTTAGTGTGAGTGTGTTTGTGTATGAACAGGTGTGCCGCTGGAAATCCTGACAGGCAGTCACCCAGGCAGCTCTCAGATGAACGGCAGTTTGACTCCCTTAGCAGAGGGAGTCCTGAGCAAGCATCCACCTGCCAGCATCCACGCGGGCTGCTGTCACCTCACTCAAATACTCTTATCAGCTCAACTACATGATAGCGATATTTTCGAATAGCCAAATAGTCACAAGACAGACCTGTGCTCACAAACAAGAAGAGAGGTAGGAGTTGCCGGGCTACGGGAGGCTCTGAGGTTGCCATCTTTAGACTTCCAGCCTGCTAAGCGGAAGCAGCCTCTGTGCCTTCCAATGCCACCCCAGATACCCAAGACCCTCCATCCCAGTCTCCCAAGTCATATATCCAACTGCTTGCTTACTATCTCCTTGATGTCTAATAAGCAGCTTGAGTAAGATGTCCAGAACTGAATTCTCAAATACTCTAAACAAACTGCATCTTCCCCAGGCTTTTCCATAAATGGCACTGTCTGGAATTTTGCTCTGGCCCCCTCACCCCTCAATATCCAGTCACCAAACCCACTAGAATCCAACCACTTCTCATGATCCCTATCGGCTCCAAGCCCCGCATCACCCACTGGGACCAGTGCCGATGCCCCCTCCACCCTGCTCTCCCTTCCTCTACCCTCGACCCCACTCCTTCTCCCCACAGCAGCCAGATCACCTTACAACTTCAGCTTAAAACCCTTTAATGGCTCCTGCTATAGCGTGACTGTTGGTGCTGCCCTACCCCTGCAAAATGCATATGTTAAAACCTACCCCCCGGTGTGATGTTAACTGGAGGTGGGCCTCTGGGAGATTAGGTCCTGAGGGTGGGGCCCTGGTGAATGGAATCAGTGCCCTTATAACAGAGACCCCCGAGATTCCCCTCGACTCTTCCTGTATGTGAAGACACACGGAAAATGACCATGTATGACACACGGAAAATGACCATGTATGAACCAGGAGGTGGGCCCTCACCAGACACTGCGTCTGCTGGCATCTTAGTCTTGGACTGCTGTTTATAAGCTGCTTAGTCTCTGGTATTGTTAAAGCAGCCCAAACAGACAGCTCCCAGAGTTCTTTCCAGAGCCTGTGACAAGCTGGGGGTTTGGACACCATCTGTGGGATGCCACCCCCTCCTTCCCCCAGATAAATCTAGACCAAAAACGCCCATCAGTGGGCACAAGTTCTAAATGTTCTCCTTTAGGGACAGGTTCCTGTGGGGCCTGCCAAGTCTTACAGGGATACCCAGCGGCTCAGCCTGGGCCTTAGTCATGATTTTATGTCCACTCAGGGAGATCTGAGGAAGCCAAGCCAATAAGGAACTATTCATTACCAACCCCAAGTCCAGGATCAGACTCTCGCACCCCTTCAGAACTGGGACTCACCTGATTCCAAGTAGTCAAGTTGACTTTATCAGCTGCATTGAAGGCCATGATATTATATTTTTTGGTTGTGTTTCTGGAGTGGGCAAAAAAAAGCAGTACTCAGTCAATCATTCATTCAACAAACCCTCCAAGGCTCAGCCCTTTCTGTGAGCCAATGCTGGGGGACCCACTGAAGACCCCAGAAGTTCCCTGTCCTACAGTGAAGCCGGATCCGTTCTCTCCCAACTCCAAGCAGAATAAGAGCAGAAGGAGAGAGAGAGATGTGGGGGAACCCAAGATGTGGGGATAATGGAAACTCTGCCCTGGAGACAGGGGAGGGCGGGCAGGGTATGTGTCCTGGAACTCGGTGTTGCAGGACAGTCTAGAACGCACCCAGCAGTCACAGCCGGGGAGAGGGCTTTCCTGGCAGACGGCTGCACCGTACTGCGTGTTACTGTACTCATGTATTCATTCATTCTCTTTTAAAAACAGTGACGCCCGCACAAAGGCCTCAACCTCGGCTCCGCCATCAGGCCGCTGCCAGTCTGGAAGGGGAACTGCTTCCACGCCTGGAACCTCTTGGAAGTTTTTTTTTATCCCTTTGGGGGGAAGTGGGAGGCGGGATCAGGAACTTACTTGGGAACTCGCACGACATACTCCGTGACATTCTGGCTGCCGGGGCCCTGCGGGGAGAGCAGGCGGGATGCTAAGTGCGGGGCTGCGGAGGTCGCCACACGGACCCCTGAACCCCGCCCCATACTCACGAGGGCCGCCATGGGCGATGGTTGGTGACTGGGATCCGGTCGGGTGTGGGTCCTTTTCGTCTCCTCTGGGGTCCCCGTCTTTCAGTCCCGGGGCAGCCGCCCTCGCGATGTCGAGTCTCCAGTCGAGGACACACAGCGTCGGTGTCACTGATCCTGGGAGAACTACCCGAAAGCGGCGCTGGGTCACCGCACCGCCTCAGCGCCGCGCCTATCACATTTGCGCCTGCGCCGCAACCTACTCGGAAGTGCGCTTCTGCGGCGGGCCTCGTCGCGATGGCAACCTCGTCCTCGGTGTCGGGCCCCTCCACGCGCTTCACGTGTCCCCCAACCTCACTCTTCAGAGGAGCAAGCCCCGGCTGAATCTGAACCGAAGGACACCCCTGTCGCTCGCGCTCTCTGTCACCGCCACACACAGGGCTGCCGATTTAGTCAAGACGTGTGGGAACGCCTTTCCCGTTACGTCCCACAAAGAGCGCAGGGCATCCTGGGAGAGGAGGGAAAAGCAGGCTCAGCTTGAGGGCGCGCGTGCGCCTTGCGCAGGTGCCGCCCCACTACGGAAGTGAGTCGCAGCCGGCCTCCTCACCATAGCAACCGGGGCCTGGGGAGCGCAGAGCCGCTGCGCCTCCACCTGAGACTCTTTCGGGTTCAATTCCTCCCCCTGCCCTGGACAGGGGACCCCATCATCTCGCCAAAGGATCGGGCCAGGGGCGCTTATGTCGTTGAGCTGAGCCAGGAGGGGTCAGGGCCTGGGTGGGGATGGAGTGCGAACACCGCACAGGCCGCTGGCGGAATGGTTCTTGGGGCAAGTCCAAGCTGCCCCCGATGGGCAGGCCCCCGAGGCCGCAGGAGAAGGGTAACAATGCAGGGAGGCTGGCTTACTAGGAGGAGAGGAAGGAGGCTGAGGAGGGCAGGAGGGAGGTGCAGGTATCCCACCCCCAAGTACAGGTGTGCACACGCCCTCCACCCCCATGGTAGTAATAAAATTGCGCATGCTCACAGATCAGCCACTCATCGATCCGCCTAAGCGCCTGCTGTGCTGGGTTGGGGCGGTCCACGCGGCCTGTGTCAAACCGGCTCCCTGTCCTCTCGGACGTGACAGTGTAGTAGGGGAGGCAGCCTCAGAAGATGGTATCTGCAGCCCAGGAGGAAACGGCTGCCACAGGAAGGAGCAGGCGGCTCCGAGGGCCCAGGGAAGAGAGGAGGTTTACGCTGGGCAAGAGTGCGGCATAGGAGTTGGCTAAGCAAAGCGGGGAAGGAAGCAAGACACCAAAATTGCACCAAAAACACAGCACCCCATGGACATGTCTGGAGGTCGTGAACATTCATTCATCACCCACTACTAGAGTGTCAACTACTAGAAATACAGGGACAGGTGGGACAGAAATAGTCCCTGCCCTCATGGAGTGCAGTCTGGCTGGGCTGACAAGAAAAGCAACCAGGCAAAATCAGTATGCATCATGGTGTAAATGGAGCTCTGAGACAAGGAATGACGGGGTGGGAGGCTCTTTGGACCAAGCTTGGTGAAGGCCTGATGGGTGGAAGGCAGTGGGGCAGCGACTTCCCAGATGGAGGGAACAGCAGGGAGGAATGAGTTTGGCAAGTCTGGGGGGAAGGGCAAGTATCTGCCCCTCTCTGGGCCTCAGTTTCCTCAACTGTACAAAGGGAGGATAATATCATTGTGACGCTTCAAGGAGATGCTGTGTGCACAGAGCCTGGCCTGCCTGGGTTGACATCCGCATCACAGCTACCCACAGCAGCACTAGCCCTCATCATGCCTGGGTATACCACCAAGCAAGACGCAACCTCCCCCATGCCACCCCAGGGCCAAAGTGAATATGCCAGCAGACCTGTGTCCAGTGCCCCCCACGGATACCCACTAAACTGTGGACACAGTCACCTGGGTGCCTCCTGGCCCCTATGGGCACCAATCCCTCTCCCTCCTCTTCCCTGGGCACCACAGGCATCCTCAAGTCCCCTTGGTCATCTTTGTGATGGGTGGCCCAGGTTGTGGCAAAGGGACACAGTGCAAGAACATGACAACCAAGTATGGCCTCTGCCACGTGGGGCTGGGCCAGTTGCTACATCAGGAAGCCCAACAGAGCACCCGGCAGGGCCAAAAGATCCCTGATATCATGCTGCAGGGGCTCCTGGTGTTCACAGTGAGAGCACACGGGCACAGGGGAGGGGCCGGAGGGTGCACATGGGGAAGAACCTCCTGAAGAGGCCCTGCGGGAGCCGATGGGTTCAGAAGGCCACGGTGCCCAGCCTGGCCATGCTTTGCTGTGTGAGCCTTTGTGTCCTCATCTGTAAAATGGGAAAGCAGCTGGACTGACAGGCAAGAGGTTGTAGTGAGGGTTGGATGAGATCATTCCTACAAAGCGCTTGGCAGAATGCCCGGCACTTGAGAAACATGCAGTAAAATTACCTGATGTTCGTTCCCTTTGTGACCCTGGGCACATTTATCATTGGCTCCTTCTGCACCCCTTCCCTTACCATAAAATGAAGTTCACCCCAGTGCCCACCTATAAGGTAGCAGTGATGAGTAAATGGGACCCAGCAAGCCTAGCACACAGCAGATGCCTGCCCAGTGGATGGTCACTGGGCCTCCAGAAGTGCCTCTAGAGGTCCCAGGACACCAGCGCTGTCTCAGAATCCCAGGCACTGGGCAGGGAAGGTGCTCCCCCACATTCACCCTGAGGTCCAGACCGAGGAAGAGAACTTGCCAAGGGGACCACACAAGTGAGGAGGTCCCCAGGGCAACAGACCCACCCACCCGTTTCCCCCTCAGGGTATCATCCTGGATATGGTCAGTGACAACACGCTGTCTTGCCCAGAGAGCCAGCGCTTCCTCATTGACGGCTTCCCCCGGGGGCTGAAGCAGGCCAAGCGAGTGACCCAAAAGTGACTCACAGGGGGTGGTGATGCGTGGAGCTCCTCCTCTCCCTACCTTGGATGGAGATGAGGAGGGGTGAGGCTCAGGGCAGAGGAGTTGACAGAGGGAAGTGGAGTTTGGTATTAAGGGGCAGTCAGGAGGTTGCTGGAAGTGTCTAGAACCTGGGTGGAGGGCAAGGACAAAGGCATTTTAATATTTCCTGCACCATTCTTGGTACCTGGTAGATTAACCAGAGTAGCAGGTGGTTTAGCTTCATCTCTAGGCCGTAAAGGTGGAATAGAGTTACTCAGCCACCTATTTATTCAACCATCTGGATAGCTCTTGAGGACAAGCTCTGGGCTCAGGCATTCATGGCACAGACTTGGTCCCTGCTCTTAGGATGCCAACAGACAGGCACAGAGCAGCACATGTCATGCCACACAAAACAGAGCGATTTCTGGGAGCAGTGCGTGCCGTGAAGAACAGAGACAGAACGTCATCCTGCCGAGACGCCAGCAGGCCTTCCGTTTGGGTGGTCCAAGGGGCCTCCCTGGAGCAGGGCCATCGGAGAACTGAGTGTGAAGGGGGCGCCAGCCCAGGGTCAAGGGAGTTCCTTCCAGTTACCTGTGCACACCAGCAGTGCCTACTTTAGGAAACCGCCTGGTTAGGCCCCTGTGCGACGAAGAGGCACAGCATTTGGAACCGGCTGAGCAGGGAAAACGAACTACCGATCTGCAGGCTGTCCCAAGACTTGGACTCCAGTTGAAAGGCCTCCCAAGAAGTCCAGGCGGGAATCAAAGGTAGCCAGAGTGGGGCTGCTATGCCCCGGGCAGGTGGGGCCCTGACCTTTGCTGGAACCTCTACAAAGCCACTCCATCAGTCCTGGGCAGGGAGCTCTGTGGGCAAAGCCCTGGCTAGTGGATTTCTCTGCCCTCCTGGGCCCCGGGCCAGCGCCCAGTCACACACGCCAGCCAGGTGGACTGTGCAAATGCCAAAGAGTATCGGAACTGAGGCTACCGACTCCCGGCCCAAGGGCCCCATTTGGCCCGTCGATGTGTGTGGTTTGGACTCCACAGCACTGACACTTTTTTTGAATTAGTGACCAATCTTAAAAAATACAAGATGCCACATCAACACTCCCAGCTTCTCTTGAAAATCGCCTGACTTGGCAACACAGGGCCTGCACATCCCCATGGCAACGGCGCGTGAACGCGTCCTGAGCTTTTTACTGAGCCCAACGCTGTTCTCGACAGACCACCGATGAACTCTGATACTCTGGAACATTCCAGAAGAATGTTTCTCACACTGTCAAAATCCTGCATTTTCACGGCGGGATCGGGCAGCTTGCCCAGGGCCACACTGTTTAAGTGGTGGAGGCAAGACTTGAGCCCCAGCAGTCAGGCTGCAAGGCCCCAATTTTAACCACGCTGACAGGGTGTGCTGGGCTCTTTCCTGAGGTTGCATGGTTTTACCCTGAGGTGAACAGGACACACGGTCACCTCTTGTACTTGTGTGTCCGTCAGAAGTGAGAAAATGACAAACACCCGGTTGGGCTGTGTGGGAGCATCCAGGAACCTTGTCCCCTAAACGCCTATGGGCAGGGGCCCATTCATCTGGGTCCTGTTTCTCCCAAAGCCTCACCTGTAGGGAAACACCCCTGTTCACAGAAGAACACTTTAGAATAATTAGGGGTTCTTAAACGCTTTTTATTAATTATAGCCTCGCAGGAAGTTGCCAAGACACTGGTGAGGTCCCCTTGGGCCCCTTCAGCCAGCTCCCCTGAGAGGTGACATCCTTTTGGACCATCTCAAAAACCAGGCCACCAGCACTGGTTTTTGTTTTGGCAAGTGATGCTCACATTACATTTGCCAAAGTGCTATCAGGGCCTTAAAAAAAAAAGGTATGTAGAAAACAGAAGTTGCTGGAATGCAGGGTCTTAAATAACAGAGCTGGAAGTGACTCTAAAGTTGGACCATGAAACTATGCAAAGCCTCCTGCTTAGAAGCACGGGATAGACTGAAGGCACGCACGTCCCCATCCTCACCAGGAAAGAGAAGTGCGTGTGGCATGTGTGCGCCTCGTGCTCCTGGAACAGAAAAGCCAGGAAGGAAACATCGGCGTTTTGGTGATCGCCAAATTTCAAACGCACACAAAAGTAGAACAGCCTAACGAGCTTCCACATACCCAGATCAAATCCTTATGGACACCTGGCCACATTTGCTTTTCCTGTGCCAAAACATCCTGCCATGACTGCCCAGGGTGTGTTCTGAAGGGCTCCCCAGGTCCCTGTACAGGAGCGCCCTCACCCAGCACCTTCAGAGATGACTAACATCAATCCCATGAGGCCATCTGATGCCCAGGCCTCCTTCGCAGTTCCACATTCTCCCGCTTCCTGACACGACTTCCCACCCCCGTCTTTCATACATCCCGTCCCGTCCTGGAATCAGCCATCCCTCCAAGGAGCCCTCTCTCAGTGGTGTCCAATCTGGGTGCCCAGGTACACGTTGCCAATGGGCTGTCATCATTCTCAGGCCTCTCCAGGGGACAGAGCTGGGAAACATATACTTCTGAAAGGAAAAAAAAAAATCGCAAGTTCATCCTATTTCCAGTTCATACTTAACATTAGTCATTTGCTGCTCTTTCCTCTTTCCCTAAAAAGTGTGGTTCCTACAACCACTAACATACTCATATGCATGACACCATTAGATGCAAAATCCTTTCCAAGGGATGAATATACAGTATCAACTGCTAAGAATAAAAGCAGGAAGTTTCTGCTCTCTTTGCCGCTCTGCCTTCCCTTACAATGTATCTCGCTGTGTGTAGTATGAACACCTGGTGGCTTGGGATAATTGTTTTCTCTGTGTAGTTGGGTACATTTGTTTTCAGTTTGGTTTTCAATATTTAGGGATTGCTTTTTAAAATTTAACTTCTGAATTTGTA